GATTTCCCCCCCCCCCCGCCACACACACACCATCATCATCAACATCACCTCCCTCTCTCGTCTCACACACTCCTCAAAGCGTCTAACACACTGGAAAATCAAAGCGCTCGCCTCTCCTGCTCACACACTGACTGCGCTGCGCGCAAAGAGAGACACAACCCAAGAGAGACCAAGTTTGCTGCGAATTTCAATATCTGTTGTAAATCGACACATGCACTTTTTATGTTATTTTTATTCCACTTTACTTTCCTTTTAGATAATTTTTATTCCACTTTGGATAACAATGCAAGTGTGTATTGTGTACCTAAATTGTTTTACAAAAACTGTTTGAATCTTTCACAACTGGACATGAGTCTTCTCTGTGAAAGCAGCTGAAAAGATCTGATTTTTATGAAGATGGACCGGAGGCTTCCGAGGAGGCGATGGACGTTGACAGGGCAGGTTGTGTGTCTGCTCCTGTGTGCGTGCGCACTGGACCAGGTTTTGGCGCAGATTCGCTATTCAGTTCCCGAGGAGTTGGAGCACGGGGCTTTCGTTGGAAATATCGCAGAGGACTTGGGCTTGGATGTGGCCAAATTGTCCTCACGGAGATTCCGGATTGTATCCGGAGCTAGAAAACAATATTTAGAAGTGAATTTGGAGAACGGAATTCTGTTTGTGAACGAGAAGATCGACCGCGAGGAGCTGTGTGAACAAAGTCTCGTTTGTTTCTTGCACTTGCAGGTGGTCATCGAGAACCCTTTGGAACTGTATCGGGTAGAAGTGGAGATCTTGGACGTGAATGATAACGCTCCCAGTTTCCCATGGAGCGAGTTTAATCTGGAGATCACAGAGTCTGCTGCGCCGGGCTCCCGGTTCCCGCTGGAGAGCGCGCAGGACCTGGATGTGGGCTCGAACTCTCTCCGCTCGTACTTGCTGAGCGCCAATCAACACTTCGTGCTGGACATTCAGACGCGTAACGACGGCAGTAAGTTTGCAGAACTCGTTCTGCAGTCGCCGTTGGACCGAGAGCAGCAGAAGACGCACGAGATGGTGCTCACGGCCGTGGACGGTGGCTCCCCGTTGCGCTCGGGCACGGCACAGATCACGGTAACTGTGCTGGACGCGAATGACAACGTGCCGGTGTTCGACCGCTCCGTATACCGGGTCAGCTTGGTGGAGAACGCGCCTAGAGGCACGCTCGTGCTCAAACTGAACGCCACGGACCTGGATGAAGGCGCAAACGGCGAGATCACCTATTCGTTCAGCGGGCACGCACCTCCGAAGGTGCGCGAGCTGTTCAGCGTGGATTCTCACTCGGGTGAGATCCGGGTGAAGGGAATCGTGGACTACGAGAGGGCCAGCGTGTACGAGCTCTACGTGCAGGCGAAAGACAAGGGTCCTTCAGCCGTGGCCGTGCATTGCAAAGTGCTGGTCGATATTTTGGACGTGAACGACAACGCGCCCGAGGTCATATTAACCTCTGTGTCAACACCTGTTCAGGAGGACGCGCCTCCGGGCACGGTGATAGCCGTGATCAGTGTAATGGACCGCGACTCCGGAGAGAACGGAGCCGTGGATTGCCAGATCCCCGGAAATGTGCCGTTCCAGCTGCACTCCTCTTTTAAAAACTATTACACACTCGTGACCAGCGAGTTTCTCGACAGAGAGTCTGTCTCGGAGTACAACATCTCCCTCACGGCGCGAGATCTGGGCTCGCCTCCGCTGTCCACCAGGAAGACGATTCTGGTTCAAGTGTCTGACATTAACGACAACCCGCCGCGCTTCATTCAGCCCTCGTACACCGTATATGTGACCGAGAATAACGCCCCGGGCGCTTCCATTTGCTCGGTGACCGCATTCGATCCGGACTCTAATCAGAACGCATATTTGTCCTACTCCATCTTTGACGGTCAGATCCAGGGCATGCCGGTGTCCACTTATGTCTCCATCAATTCTGATAACGGCAACACCTACGCGCTTCGCTCTTTCGATTACGAGCAGCTCCGGAACTTTCAGATCCGAGTCCAGGCGCAGGACGCCGGTTTCCCGCCGCTCAGCAGTAACGTGACCGTCAACGTGTTCGTTTTGGATCAGAATGACAACGCGCCGGTCATCCTGTCCCCGCTGCCCAGAAACGGCTCTGTTGCTACTGAAATGGTGCCCAGGTCGGTGGACGCTGGGTACCTTGTGGCTAAAATCACAGCGCTCGACGCGGACGCGGGGCAAAACTCTCGCCTGTCATATCAGATGCTGCAGGCGACGGATCCCGGGCTGTTCAGCGTGGCTTTATACACCGGGGAGATCAGAACGATCCGCCGCTTTTTAGACAAAGATGCCATCAGGCAAAGACTCGTCATACTTGTCAAGGACAACGGGCAGCCGCCGCTCTCGACCACCGTGTCCATCATTCTGTCGGTGGTGGACTCCGTGCCGGAGTCGCTGTCCGACTTCGGTGACCTCTCGCTCAGCCCCCAGCCCCCGTCTAACCTCGCGCTCTATTTAATCGTGTCACTGAGCACCGTCTCGCTCATCTTCCTCGTGGCCATCATCGTCCTGGCGGCCGTGAAGTGCTACAAAGACCGCGACTCCCTCGGCGGTTACGCGCTCTCCTCGCTCGGTGCCGCTTGCTGCAGCTTTGAACCGGAGCCGCCTGCCGAGGTGTTCAAAAAGTCTAATCTCAACCTGCAGATCTCCACCGGCGCCAAAGTGCCCACGAACTGCGTGGAGGTAAACAGCAATCCTGGAAATCTCTCTCAAGCTTACTGCTACAAAGTGTGTTTGACGCCCGAATCTGCAAAGAGCGACTTTATGTTTCTCAAGCCTTGCAGTCCCGGCACACCGAGAAATAACGCGGCGAGAGGAGCGGACAACCTGGCGCTGAGCTCACAGAGCCGCTGCTCTTCAGTGAACAATGGAGCGACTACACCGAACGAGGTAAAACTGCATTCACTCTCTTTCTTAAACATCAACTTGCTTCATTCAGTTTGTCAGGTGATCTTTATTTTTGAATCACTTTGGTGAAGGGTATCACTTGTGCACATAAGTGTGAAATATGTTGGTGAACAAAATGAATTGGCTATCGATTATCTATAAATGCACAAAAGAAAAACTGGAGGGCGCTAATTGTTTGACAATAAATATTGAATACCTCTAAGTCAATCAATGACCTTGATTGAGAGTGAACTGGCGTCTCTAGACAGCAGCATTTACCAGAGAAACCGAGGACAAGGCGCGTCTTTAAGCACTGTCTCCAGTTCTTCTTTTGTTTATGTGCGCACTCTATCCCTCTCTCTCTTTCTATATATATATATATATATATATATATATATATATATATATATATATAA